AATCATCAATGGTCAAGAAATATTTGTAACCATTATAGGTAGGTGTGTGATAAGGTCCCCAAGTATCTATGTGAATTAATTGGAATGGGTGAGTAGACTGTATACTACTATCAGGGAAAGGCAGTCTTGTTTGCCTAGCTAATGGACATAGACAACTAAAGGATTGTTTAAGAGGAAATTTTTAATTTATAGCAGATATAGTTTTCAGTTTAGAGAAAGGAATATGCACGTCTCTAATGCCAAAGAACTTCAGCTTTATTCATATTATCAATAGCTGATATGGTATTTACAGGTCATCAATTACACTAGCATGAACAGAAGAATTAGAAACTGAAACAGTTGAAACAACAGGATGAGTAAGAGAAGAAAAATCTGGGCTAGGAGCAAAGACAGACTGAAACAGCTTGTAGAGTCCATTGTCCGGCTTACCAAGTATCACTGGCTTCCTCACTGAAGGGCCCTGTAAAGTACAAGCAGCCTTGGTAAACTGTACCATGTCATCATAATGAGAAAGTAATTTGTGGATAGAAATGAGATTATACTGAAAACTAGGAACATAAAGTACATTGTGCAATATCAAATCAAGCAATAAAGCCAATAATCCAATATTGGTAACCTTGACTTTATAGCCGTTTGAAAGAGAAACAAGGTATGGAACAGGTAAGGTTTGGACATTAAAGAGTAAATTTTTTGTGGAAGTCATATGGTCAGAAGTCCTAGAGTCTATGATCCACACTATGCCATCCACTTTGGTCAACATACATGCACCATAAGACACACCAGGAAGAATTAACTCACCAGCAAAATTGGCTGACCCCATTAAGTTTAAAGTAGATGGAGAATGAGACAGATGTGACTGTTGAAGCAACAACATCAATTGAGAATAATGATCCTTGGTAATCCCAGGGATAGCATACGTATCTTCAGACTGTGGACGAGTACCATGTCAGTAGAGATGTTACCACTCCTAGATTCAGGATGGCTGGTGAGCTCAACAGGTGCAGCAGTCTTTCTAAGGTTAGGAGTTTTAGTAAACTTGAAACTTGGGGAATAACCATGGAGTTAGTAGCATTTGTCTATAGTGTGGTCGGGTTTCTTACAGTATTTGCAGGTGACATTTGGTTTCGATGATTCAAAATTCACTTTAGAAGGATAACCCTACCTGGAGACTCCAACATTAAAAGATGCAGAGGTAGAAGGAAACTGAGTCCCAGCAGACACATTCCTCTGCTTCTCATCAGATAATAGGATGCTACTAATGCTGTATTGTGGGGCTGGCCCAGCCCGGGACCGCGAGACAACGGGCCAAACGGGCCGGTTCAAACGGTCCGGTCCCAAACGGTCCTAAAAGCCCACTATGGGCCGGTCCTCCAGGTTAAGACCACGAGCCCGGGATCGGCTGGAGGGCCTGGGCCGGTTCAACCGGGCCCAACAGCTATTTTTCCAAAAAAAAAATTTAAAAAAAATTGGCCAACGGTTGGAAGTTTAAAAACTAGTCGTTGGCCTGCCAATTTAGCCGTTTGGCTTTTTAAAAAATAGCCATTTGGCCCCCAAACTTTGTTTTAACCCCTAACTTTTTATAATTATACTTTTTCCCTATTTTCAACTATAAATACCCCCTCATTCTTTCATCTTTACTCACAAAATCATCAATCTCTCTCTAATTTTCTTCTATAATTACTTACTTTATTATTGCAATTTGTGGAAAATTGTGAAGTTGGTGAATTGAAGTCTTCAAGTCTTCAACGATATACAATTTTTAAGAAATTGTTCGTCAATTCGGTAAACTCGTTCCAGCTCTTATGTTTTAATATTATAGTTTTGTTTGTTTTAGTTTGTATAATTATAATTAATATGGCCTTTTCTTTGAAAAAAATGTTTGGTGGTAAGGGAAAATCTAAAATTGGTGAATCTAGTCGCCAAGCTACTACTCCTCCCCCGGCTCCCCGACCCAGACCTGTTACCCGTCCTCCTCCACCTATTATTCTTGATAGTGATAACCCTTATTTTTAATTTACCGATAGTCAATTTTGCCATGATGTTGCACCAGGTCAACAATTAAATGATGAATATATGAATGCTCTTTATCCTAATGAAATTATCGATGAAAATGATGAGGAAAATGATGATTTAGATGAAACGCAACCGGATTTAGATGATACACCTACTAGTCCTGTTGTTAACCCAACTGATAATAATCCAAATGATGCCCCGCCTGACCCTCCTGTAGTAACCCCTACTTTTAATAAACAACCTTCTAAACGGCCCGAAACATCTCTTGTTTGGCACTTTTTTACCCAACTAAGAGAACAAAATAAGGCTAAGTGTAAAACTTGTGGGTCTTTGATGGCTCATAAATATACTGGAGACCGTAGCGGTACGGGTAGTTTGACTAGACACATAAAGACACACCCTAGAGATAAAGCTAGATATCTTCAAATGAAAGCGCAGCAAGAGGGGAGAAGTGTAGAAACTGAGGTTAACCCTAGTACCGGGTCAAATCTAGTTCAACCGGGAATTAACACTGTTACCGGTGGCATTTTATATTACGATCCAAATAAAGATCATGAAGAATTGGCAAAAATGGTTATTGTTATGTGCTTACCCTATAGTTTTCCTTCTAACCCTCACTTTGTGCATTATATTAGAAGAGTTTATAATCCTACTTATAAAGGATGGCCTCGCGCAACTGTAAAGAGCGATATTTATAAATATACACATGAATATGAATAATATTTGCGCTATTTATTTACTCATATAGATTGTCGCATTGCTATTACTACTGATATGGTAGAAGTGGTAATGACTGTGATTATCTTACTGACCACTCATTGGATTGATGAGGAATGAAAAATGCAAAAGCGCATTATTGCTTACAGAATAATTAATTCACGTCACACAAATAAGTTTATTGCTAACACAGTTGCAGATATTTGTAAATATTTTTGCATTAGAGATAAAATAATGTCAGTTTCTATGGATAATGCTTCTAGTAACACTAATGCTATAGGCTTGCTTACAACTACACTAAATCCTGCATTTAGTAATATGTTCCATGTTAGATGTATTTGTCATATTTACCATTTAATCGTCGGTGATGGTATAAAAATTTTAAATGTGGAAATTGAAAGGGTTAAAGTGGCTCTTAATTGGCTTTTTTATTCAAGCCGTAGAAGTAGACTTAGAGAATATTTTAAAAAATATGATGAATTAGGCCTTAGAGAGATAAAGGTTCCTAAACCTTGTCCGACTAGATGGAATTACATGCATGAAAGTTTAGTTGTTGCATATGAATATAGAAACCCAATAAACGCAAAGTTTAATGCTTGTGTTTGGTGGTGATGATGATGATGAAATCCTTACAAATCAGCATTGGACTAATGTTAAAATTCTTGTAGATTTTTTAGAACAATTTCATGAAGCTACAAATGAATTGTATGGGCGATACTATTTCTAACTGTTTAGTTTATATTGCAGCACCCTGTGATTTGTTTGTTTAATTTTCAGAGGGCGGGGTAATTTATCAACTTGCTATTGATTCTATGAAAGATAAGTTTAAAAAATATTATTTCCCTATCCCCCCTATTTATGGTGTTGCTGCCATGTTAAATCCTACCATGAAATTAGGAGGTCCTCACTTTTGGTATTTATAAGGCTTTAGATCTTTCAGATGAGGAATTTGCTACACTTGCAGATGCAAAAGCCTCAATTAAAATAAATGCTCAAACAATTTATAATGCTTATCAACTTGCCTTAGATCATGCTAGACCAAATGTTCCAACTCCTACTTCGTCTAGTTCGCAATCATCTAAAAGAACTACGTGCCTAAAAGCACTTAGTTCTTGGACGGAGTTCAGGGGTTCTCAAGGTGATAATATTGGTGATACTTCACAACTAAACGAGCTTCAAGTTTATTTGTCGCAGGGACTTGAAAAAGAGAATCCCGACGGCACCTTTGATGTTTTGGAATGGTGGAAGGACAAAGAAAAACACTTTCCGGTTCTTTCAAGGATGGCCCGAGATATTTTAAGTGTTCAAGCTTCAACAGTTTCATCGGAGAGCGCTTTCAGTCAAGCGAGACTTCAAGTCGGTGATCATAGAGCGTCTATGAGGGAGAGCTTGGAAAAATCAGTACTCTTCAGAGATTGGATCCGTTCGGAAAGAAGAAATTTTGGACTTGCTGAATCACAACCGGAGATAGACGAAGCTTATGAAGAAATGCTAGCGGAACTTGCGGAGGATGCTACTTCGTCCGGAAGCGGTGATGAACAAGCTTCTTTTCTGCCACCACCAACGGAAATTCCTACGAACCTTGATGGATTTATGAAATTTGTTAGAGATAATATGTAGACTAATATGTAACTTGTATTTTGGCAACATCTTCATTAGTTTTTTTTCCTTTTAAGTTGGTTGGTATTTAGCNAATGGTGGTATTAGCACCTTGTTGTGCTCATTCCATTGGGAGGAGGAAGACTAAGAAAGATATTGCCATTTTTTGTTAATGTCGTAATAATAAAAATTATAAGGCATTCCCTTGAATAATTTTTTGCAATTTTTTTTGTGTTTAAATTTGAATTAGAAGATTTAAGTCACAATTATATAATATAATTTACAAGAAATTATATAAGGCACTATATCTATCTATCTATCTATCTATCTATCTATCTATCTCTCCCTCTCTCTCTCTCTCTCTCTCTCTATATATATATATATATATATATATATATATATAATTTACAAAAAAATGTCTTAGATAAAAAAATTTTAAAAAAATAGCCCGGAACACTTAGGCCTGTTTAGGCCCGTGGGCCCGACCCATTTAGCCCGGGACCATGTGGGCTTAGGCCCACAGTGGGCCGGTTCCACCCACCAGGACCGTTAAGCCCAGGACCGTTTGGCCCGGGACCGCCAGAGCCCAGCCCGCCAAAGCTCGGGACCGTTGGGCCCGGCCCGTTTAGCCTATTTAGGCCCGGGCCCGGCCCAGAATACAGCCTTAGATGCTACACAGCTCCAACTGAAGAAAGTGTCTTCATCATCAGAATATTACCTCTGGTTTGGATATATGTATCATTCAAACCCATTAAAAACCGATAAGCCCTCTGTTCCTCATCTTCTGCAGACTTAGCCCCACAAGAACACACCCTAGTTCGACCAGCAAATATGGAAGCTATTTCATCCTATAACTGTTTGATTTTGTTGAAATATGAGGCTATGTCAAGAGACCCTTGGGAAATATGTGCTAACTCTTTCTTAAGTTCAAAAACTCTAGCACCATCAGCCATACCATATCTCTCTTCTAACTCATTCCAAATTTCCCTTGCAAACTCTGAATACTCCACACTGCGAGATATTTCCTTAGACAAGGAGTTTACCAACCAGGAGATGACAATGTCATTACAACTCTGCCATTGTCTGGCAAGAGGTGAAGTAGATGAAGGCTTCTGGTAGTTTCCATTTATAAAATCTAGTTTGTTTCTAATTGAGAGTGCAACAAGGACATTACGCCTCCAACTACCATATCCTGTTCCATCAAACGGAGTGGAGACCAACGAGGTCCCCAAAACATCTGATGGATGCACATAGGGATGATGACATGGATGAGTATAGTCGTCCTCATGGAAGGCGGTGCGAGAAATAGCAGGAGTTGAAGATGTATAAGGAGTTCCATTGGTCATGTTATCAGATTCACAAACAATTATACAGAGAACCTAGGTCATGCAAGCAGAAATACGAAGATGCAATGAAGAATGAAGTTGATGTTACCAATCTCTTTCGCAATCGGAAAGAGCTACGACCTTCAACTAGAAAAGAACACCTCAATATCAGTCGTCGTCATAGAGCTTCGATACGAGCAAACCCTAATTTAAGTCGAAATCCTTGAAATCGTCTGAAAGTAAAATTCACCGCTACTATGCACTGGAGTAGATGATTGAACAGAATGTTGGAGAAAAAAAAATCGAACAGAAAACCACCATCGGACCACGAATATCGAAAAAATCAATGTTGGACGAAGTATATAAAAAAACGACGAGTGTAGGATCAATCAAATTCTCAGCACGAGATTTAGATGGATCTCGGCTTTGATACCATGTTAACATGAAGAAAATGAAGGAAATGAGGAAGATTGAAGACTAGGGCTTACACCATGTCTGCTAAGAATAAAAGCTTCGAGAGCATTGCTTCTTCTGTGTATGTGAAAATGAATCATAGTTATTTATTACATACTTGGGCTTCACTATAGTGACCCGGAAAAATGAAAAGATACACCGGAATGGGCCCTAACTAAGAACCTGTACAATTGGGCTAAAACATAAATACAAGAGTAAAAAGAAACTAGGCCCAAAACATTAACTAGCATCTAAATATATCTAATTTGCCTATTCTAACACCAACACTGATAGAAGATCTTGGATTCAAATTAAAGTTGAATTATGTGATCATCTTATCTAAAAGTTTAAACTTTAAACTAGAAAGAGCTCACTTTTGATTAATTACTATATTATGTCTCATATTTATATGACAATTATAAATGTTATCTTCTTTGGTTATCCGTGCTAATTAGTAATCAACTTTAAGAGCCACTTATAGATTTGCAGTTGACTTGGAACCTTCAAACACTAATTTCCACTCTCTCTTCTTGCAGTCTTTTATAAATTCATTCCACTCTCTCTTCTTCAAAGTTAATGTGCAGTTCTGTAAAAGAAAATATGGCATGCATAAAGCTGCTTCGCAAACAAATGGGTAAACTTAAATAAAATATTACTAAAAGAGAAGAGTTTTGGCTGTTAAGCCAAATACTACAGTAGCCGAATAGGTAGGTAAAAAATAAGAAGAAAGTGAAAAATACATTAAATCCCCAAGTGTTAGCCAAGGAGGGGTGGTAGGTCATTATCCAAAAATTAAAAAAAAACGAGGGCCGATATTTTAGAGGAAACTGACTGCGAAAGAGGAAGTAGAAGAGAGGTAACGAAGGAAAGCATCAAATTAAGGGTAAAATGGGAAACGTTTCTCTCCCTAGATCAAAAGTATGAGATTCAAAGAATAAATTATTTTCGATATATACATAAAAAACACTAAAACTCTCTCGTAATATATCTCCTGAAACGCGAATCCGAATTAATTCGATCAATTGCTACCATAGTAGGATGGCGAGTGGTGACAAATAGTAGAAATTGACACCATATCGTCTCATGTGTTGTCGATGGAGCCGCTTATATATGCCTTGGATTTGCCCAAAGATGGTTGCCCTTTGTCTTTTTCTTTATTTCCTCTCCCTCACCTTTCTCTTCTCATAAAAGTCGGCAGTTTTTCTCTTCATTTATTACCACCTCTACAAAGTTAACCCCACCGTCTTTAATTCTAACTGGATAATAATATTTATCATGTTCCTTAGCTTATTTTTCCACTATTGAATTTGAAAAAAATATAGGAGTATAAACGTTCCCACATATATTACTCCTACAAAAAAAAGTATATAGCATCAATATTAGCAACTTATTAACTTTTCCCAAGATAATCTAGTGACGAATATTTAGGGTGGCATAGCTTATTTGTCGCATATTAATGAATTTTGATAGTTTCATATTTATAAATTTCTTTACAACTAACTTATTAACTTTTCCCATCCCAGAAACACTAGTTTACAAATATATACAGAGGAAAGAAGGTTAGGTTCACGTGTAATAATTCTATATAACCACAAAAATGGTCATTGGTCTCACCCCAGAAACTAATGGAATGCAAAAAAAAAAAAAAAAAAAAAAAAAAAAAGTAAGAAGATGATGTATGGAATTTTCTGTGTGTACTCATTAAAGCTGAAGCTCAATATATACAAGTATATCTGTAGAAAAAAAATGAAAACAGAATTTGAGATTCCTATACACTTGTCTAATTGCTATTGGCTATCTAATAACAAACTAATATTCTTTACAAGGTGTGTCACATGCCTCACACATGTGGGCTTATTCTAGAATCTGAGAATAAAAAAATGCAGCTGTATTCTTTAACTAATTTGGACGGCTGTGATTTAATTGATCAAGTGTGTGATCAACGGTTGAGATAAGATCTTTCCTTGAGATATTTTGTGCAATTGTATTAACTTTGTTTCTAGATAACTCCGAAGGCTTCGTTTTTGTCGGAAAGCCTAGAGACTTTCCCTTTTCTTCTCTTTTAAACGTTCCTTGCTCTTCTTCTTCATTGTTAATGTTATCAGCTTCATCAATCAGCTGATGCAAATAGGATTTCTTCTTCTCTTCATCCCCCCTCAAGTTGGAGGGTGATGAAATTATCCCCAACTTGCGCAGAATAGAATGGTGCGATGGCCCAGAAAGTGATTTGGTAAAAATATCGGCAATCTGAGATGAAGAAAGAACAAAGGAAAGGGTTATTAAGCTTGAGAGGAACTGCTGACGGACAAAATGACAGTCCAATTCGACATGTTTGGTCCGTTCATGGAAGACGGGATTTCGAGCGATGTGAATGGCGGCCCTGCTATCAGAAAGAACAGGAACGGGAAGTTGTGGTGAAACAGAGAGGTCATCAAGAAGACGAGTGAGCCAAGTGAGTTCAGCAACCACTCATCACATAGATCTGTACTCAGCTTCGGCGGATGACAATGAGATAGAAGCCTGCTTTTTGGATTTCCAAGAAATAGGAGAACCTCCGAGGGCAACATAAAAACCACTAACTGAGCGTCTAGTCTCCGAGCAAGAAGCCCAGTCCGCATCACAAAAAGCAACCAACTTAGAGTGAAGGGAATGAATTGAGGAGAATGCCCTGCCCAGGATCTGAACATAGATAGGGGAGGACTCGCAAAACAGCAGCAAAATGGGCAAGACGAGGGCTTTGCATAAATTGACTAGGTTTGAGCACAGCAAAGCAAAGATCTGGCCTCGTGTGGGTTAAGTAATTTAATTTCCCAACAAGATGACGGTAAATGGTCGGATTTGTGAGAAGAGGCCCTTCATCAGCATGTAGCTTGGAGGATGGCTCAAGGGGAGAAGAAACACAAGGCAGATTGGAGATATCAAATTCCTGCAGCAAGTCCAAGGTAAATTTTCTTTGACAGATTATCGTTCCTTGCCTTTCGCGCATAACCTCCATGCCTAAAAAATAATGCAAATTCCCTAAATCTTTGACTTTGAATTCAGAGTGTAGAAATGACTTCAAAGAGGCAATTTCCAATGTGTCATTGCCACTAATAAGGATATCATCGACATAGACTGCAACAATTGAAATCAAATCCCCTTGCTTCTTAAAAAATAAAGAGTAATCATTCAAAGAGGAAGAATAACCCTTAAAACTTAATGCACCAGCTAACCGAGCATACCACTGTCGGGAGGCCTGCTTTAAACCATAAAGAGATTTTCTGAGAAGACAAACATGATTAGGTGAAGGGGGTGTAAGGCCAGCGGGAAATCTCATATAAACTTCCTCTTGTAGATCCCCATGTAAAAAGGCATTACTAACATCTAATTGATAAATAGGCCAGTCCCTTTTAGTAGCTACTGCTAATAAACACCTGATGGTAGTCATTTTGACTACTGGAGAAAAAGTCTCAGTGTAGTCGATGCCTTCCCTTTGAATATCCCCCCTAACCACCAGTCTGACTTTCAATCTTTCTATGCTTCCATTAGATCTGTGCTTCACCTTGTATACCCATTTACAAGGTAATGCTTTCTTTCCAACTGGTAGGAGAACTACATCCCAGGTTTTATTAGTTTCCAATGCCTCAATCTCTAAAGCCATTGCCTTCCTCCATCCTGAATGTGAAGATGCCTGTGAAAAACTATTAGGTTCTGAAATTTCTGAAATTGACTGTAGAACATGCCGATTGTCAGGAGATAGGGCTCCAAAAGAAAAAATAGAGGGCTGACTAGGCTGGGCAAAACAGGCAGAAGTTACTTCACTAAGGTAGATATTATTGCAAATATAGTCCTTAAGATAAAGAGGCTGGGAAGTAATTCTGGTGGATTTTCTGATTGGTGGAACTGAAGCACTAGGGGTATCAGAAGATGAAGGAGAATGTGAGGAAGGGAGTGTGGAAGGTGAGTGAGTGATAAGAGGTGAAGGGGAAGAAACAGATCCTGGTGAGGGAGGAGTTGTAGGATCAGGTGATGAGGTGGAAGGGGATATTATAGGAAGGGAGTAGTCTGATGGTGAAGGAATGGGAAAAATAGAATCAGGATTGGTGGTGGTTGTAGCAAGGGGATACTTATATTCATAGAAATGTACATCCCTAGATACAATGACCTTCTTTGTCTCTAACTCCAGCACTTTGTACCCTTTCTGCCCCAAGGGATATCCTAGAAATGCACAGGCCTTAGCTCTAGGATCAAATTTGGTTCTCCCATTGGACAAGGTAGAAACATAACATAGGCAACCAAAATTCCTGAGAAAATTGTAGGAAGGGGACTTATGAAACAGAATAGAATAAGGTGTCTTCCCATGAAGTACCTTAGAGGGTAGCCTGTTAATCAAATAAGTGGCAGTTAATAAACATTCTCCCCAATAAGTAATAGGAACTTTAGATTGAAATAGTAAGGCTCTAGCTATTTCCAAGAGATGGCTGTGTTTTCTCTCAACAACTCCATTCTGTTGAGGAGTTGAGACACATGAAGTTTGATGCAGTATCCCTTGAGAACTAAGAAAAACTGCCTTTTGGAAACCTTTCCCA